GCGCCTGGGCCCTGAGCTCCTGCCCCGAGCTCCGACCGACGGCGCGCCTGGGCCCTGAGCTCCTGCCCCGAGCCCCGAGCTCTGACCGACGGCGCGCCTGGGCCCTGAGCTCCTGCCCCGAGCTCCGACCGACGGCGCGCCTGGGCCCTGAGCTCCTGCCCCGAGCCCCGAGCTCTGACCAACGGTGCGTCTGAGCCCTGAGCTCCTGCCCCGAGCTCCGACCAACGGCGCGTCTGGGCCCTGAGCTCCTGCCTCGAGCTCCGACCGACGGCGCGTCTGGGCCCTGAGCTCCTGCCCAGAGCTCCGACCGACGGCGCGCCTGGGCCCTGAGCTCCTGCCCCGAGCTCTGACCGACGGCGCGTCTGGGCCCTGAGCTCCTGCCCCGAGCCCCGACCGACGGCGCGCCTGGGCCCTGAGCTCCTGCCCCGAGCTCTGACCGACGGCGCGTCTGGGCCCTGAGCTCCTGCCCCGAGCTCTGACCGACGGCGCGTCTGGGCCCTGAGCTCCTGCCCTGAGCTCCGACCGACGGCGCGCCTGGGCCCTCAGCTCCTGCCCCGAGCTCCGACAGCTTCTGATGTTGCCACTGACGGCCAGCCCCCGTGTGGCCGCCCTCCCCCGAGCACCAGGCCAGGGCCACGGCCACGCTGGCCAGCCGAGGATCAAGAGGGCCCAGGGCGGGCAGAAAGCCAGCAAGCCTCAGGGTGTCGGCGTTCCAACCACCCTGGGGTCGCCTGGCAGGCAGCAGGCCGCAGGCAGGGAGCGAAGGAGGCTGTTTATTTGGAGTGAGAGTCGGAGCAGCGTATCAGTGAAACTTGACAGGTCACCACCGTGCCTGGGGAGGGTCCGCGGCCCGCAATGCCGGACAGGCGCCGGCCCGTGGAGGCTGGTGGAGGGAAGGGTGAGCATGGCTCAGGAGGCCGGGCCTCACTCTTGTGACATGGCCTTGGGTGGTAAGTGTGGTGGGACACACAGGTGCTGCGGCCTGCCCAGGCCGGGCCAGCACCAGGCCCGCCTCCTCCCAGCTCCAGTGGCGGGTGCCCCGGGAGGGGGCATGGCCTCAGGCCCTGAGGTCATCGCTGCTTCCGGTCCTGATCAGAGAGGACGGCAGTGCAGAGAGCAGGCAGCCTGGCCGGCCAACCAGACTGCTGCGCTGGGCGTCTAGCTGCTCGTGTGTGCTTCTCGAACACAGCCACCAACCCCCAAACGCAACGCCGAGCGGAGCTGGGACGTCCACCCGAGAACACTTCACCGCGCTCTCATCCACAGCCCATCGGCATTGCCTAACGCTGCCAGGGACAAAGGAGACACAACGGCGCAAAGCAACAGGCGCTTCACTCCTGGTTTGGGAGCCGGAGCCTAAATCTGGACCCACGTGGGGTTGGTCCCCAAGCCCCACAGGGCCCATCCCGGAGGCCCCAGGACCCAGGCCACAACCACCCTCCTCTGTGGACTTCGTGGGCCTCTGTGCCCACATGGACTTCGTGGATATCCGTGCCCACACGGACTTTGTGGACATCTGTGCCCACATGAACTTCGTGGACCTCTGTGCCCACGTGAACTTCGTGGACCTCTGTGCCCACATGGACTTCGTGGATCTCTGTGTCCGTGTGGACTTTGTGGATAGCTGTGCCCATGTGAACTTCAAGAACCTCTGTGCTCATTTGGACTTCATGGATATCTGTGTCCACGTGGACTTCGTGGATCTGTGCCACATGGACTTCATGGATATCTGTGCCCACATGGACTTCGTGGATCTCTGTGCTCACGTGGACTTCATGGATATCTGTGTTCACGCAGACTTCGTGGATCTGTGTCTGTGTGGACTTCGTGGATCTCTGTGTCCGTGTGGACTTTGTGGATCTCTGTGCCACGTGGACTTCATGGATTTCCGTGCCCACGTGGACTTTGGGCACCTTTGTGGCCACGTGGACCTGGTGGATCTGTCACCCCTTTCTGTTTCTTACCTGGGCACTTGTCCTTGGATTTAGTCACCTTCATCATGTTACAAAGACCCACACAGGCCACAGTCTGAGGTTCTGGGTGGATGTATCATTCAACCCTACCGTAGTTTACCCTCTGGTGCTCAGAACTTCACATCTGTCCTACATACAAAACATACGTCGCCCTGTCTGCCTTCCCTCTGAGCCCCTCTCACCAAGCCACTACGTAAGATGCAAGTCTCCTCCAAATACCACTATCTCCACGAGTCCCTGAGCAGGTGTGGGTGACGCTCTGGGTATGGTCTGTCTCTACCACCTGTGGGCCTGGACAAGAAGCAATCTCCCTTCAGACCATATGCAAGACAGCAGAGAGCAAAAACTCCATCCCAAAGGGAGAAAATGGAAGGGGCGTGGAAGGAATCGGCGGCCCCATGAAGGTTTAGCACCCCGAGGGGCGAATTCTATCAGCTTCCGGGACCTGCAATGTGTCCCCTGGCACCCAGCTGCCAACCTTGTGCCTCCCCGGGAGCCTCTGCTCAGTGCCGCGTCCCCCTCCTTCCCACCATGCCTTCCTCCCAAGCTGCAGAAGTTGGGAGAGTCTGAACAAAGCAACAGGAATGATGCCGGCCCACGGCCTTCGGGCCCCAGCGGCCCCAGCACCTCTGCCCGGGGCCAGCTCTCCAGACTTCAGCCTGCCGAATCCCACCAGGTCCAAGCCAGCTCCCACAACCCAGAACACGTATCTGCACAGAATGCCACCTAGACCAGTTGGGGCTCGAGTGCGGGCACCAAGACCCCTGTGGACGCACCCTGAGAGGTCTGCACTCCCGTCGCTGAGAAACCCAACGCGCCCTCCCACAGTGCCCTGGGTGGCGTCACCCGCGAGCCCCGGCTGCCTCCTCCACCTGTCGGCTCTGGGGCACACCAACACTGGACGAGCCACGGCTCCGTCCGCGAAGCCTGTGCGGGCTCCTGGGGCCGTGCGTCTCCCCACCTCTCAGCGTGCAAGCTGGGCGAGTGTGCACCACTGATCCACGCCTGGCCTGGCCTCAACCCCCGACCCTCCTGCTTTGTTCCTTCAGCAGCTGGATTATAGACACAAAAGCCTCCTCAAGGGCACTGGAGACACCAAGTCAGCCAGGACGTGGCACAAGGCGGCGGCATGCGGTGGAGATGGTGCGCTGTCCCGCGGTCCTCCGAGGGTGGCGGGGCCGGCGGCCCAGCCTGGACGCCCCAGAGCGAGCGGCTCAGGACTGTCAATCTGTGTTCAAGATGAAAGCCCCCCCCTTTTTTTTGCTGGTCCCGGGGCTTGAACTCAGGGCCTGGGCACTGTCTCTGAGCTGCTTTGTTTGCTCAAGACTAGGCTCTAACATTTGAGCCACTGTAATACTTCTTGCTTTTTGCTCATGTGGTGCTAAGGAATCGAACCCAGGGCCTCATGCACTGAGCCACCTTCCCAGCCCTCAATCTGAAATTCTTCCGGTTAAGAAATGTATGGTGGGCATGCCTGTGATTACAACATTGGGGAGGTACTGAGGCAGGAGGATGGAAAATTCTAGAACAGCCTAGAAAAAGAAATAAAACGGTACCCCAAATAACCATGCGTATATCTGGTGTCCCTCCAATAGCCAGGCATGCATCTGCCGTACCCCAAATAACCACACGCAAGTGCCGCCCCGAGGGCTCGCAGAAAGGCGCGGTGCCCCAGTGTCCACCCTGGTCTCTCGCCCCGCCCTCCAGCTCGGGTACACGGGCCACGGGCGTTCAAACGAGAATTCGAGAATCCAGGAGAGCAGCACTTCTGGGCTGAGAT